ATACAGGCATGGGAATGGGTTCACTGGAACCTTCTCTCACATCAGGTTTTGGTGGTGCAAGAGTCAAGAGATCAAGGGCACAGGGCACTTAAGGGTGAGCCCAAAAGATGAAAAAAGGGTGGGGAGTGTCACTGAAACAAATAAATTTGATACCATCGTTTGGCTGGCGCTATTTCTAAGCAGGGTTGGAAGAATACCTCAAATAAATCTTATGAATTTTTTCTCTTCTAATTTTAATAAAACCACCATATAGTTTGACTCCCTTGCTGGAAAAAGCTCATGTGGAGGCCCCCCAAAAATGGGGAAAATGAGTCACCATGTTAGATGCCTTCTTCCCTACTATGACAGTAATAATATTAGCCCTGAAGCAAGTGCTGATTTCCTGGGAGTCCTTCTGGAGTGATATAACTGCAAGGAAAACAGAGCCAGAGAAAATAGGGCCTACTTCCCTCATGTGGAAGCACCTGCAACAGAGATCTGAACACACTCCTTTGGAGAAATGAATCATGCTCCAAACTGAGGGTAGCCGGCTTATTGTGCTGTCATGGGACCAGACAGGCCCAATCTCAAAGCTCAGCTAAGTATGGTATTGAGATGATGTCACTGTCCATCACCCTACAGTGGCAGCCTCCCCTGTGTTGAAGGCAATCTCACCTGGAGGGCTAGATGGAGGCCAATTGGCCAGGTATCCAAAGCCAGGACACAGTTCCTACCCATTCTTCAGGGTCTGTTCAGGTGCCCCATCCTTTCATGTGTAGCCTCTTCTACTTTAGCCCAGCCCACAGGGATCTCTCACCTTCCCTGTAGTCCTATGCCAATCACTGACTGTTTACCTAGCAATCTTCTGCATTGGCACCTAGCCTACACAGACTCAATTCAATTCCATTCCATTCAAAAATATTTATTAAAATACCTACTATGTACCAGACTCTGTGCTTGGTGCTGGGAATACAAAGACTCCAAGTAGAAGTTCCTTAAAGGAAGGCAGCAAGGAAGGAATAAGCATTTATTAAGCACCTACTATGTGCCAGGCATTGTGCTAAGTGCTTTATAGAAATCACCTCACTTTATCTTCACAACAACCTTTACAGTTGAGGGAACCAAGACATACAGAGGTTAAGTGACTTGCCTAGGGTCAACATAGCTAGTTAAGTTTCTGAGGCTGGATTTGAACTCTTTTCTTCCTGACTCCAGGCCCAGTGCTCTGTGCGCTGTGGTGCTCCCTAGCAGCCTTCAAGCAGAAAATGTTTCATTTTTGTCTGTGGCTCCAGCACCTTAGCTCATGCCTGGTACATAACTCTGTTCAATTGTTTCAGTCGTGTCCAACTCTTCGTAACCCCATTTGGAATTTTCTTGGCAAAGATACTAGAGTGGTTTGCCATTTCCTTCTCCAGATCATTTTACAGATGAGGAAACTGAGCTAAACAGGGTTAAGTGAGTTGGCCAAGGTCACACAGCTACTAAGTGTCTGAGGTCAGGTTTGAATTGAGGAAGATGATTTCCTGACTCCAGGCCCAGCACTGTATCCTCTGCAGCGCCACCTTGCTGCCATAACTGGAAGCTTAATAAATGCTTATTGGTTTGAATTTAAAGGCCAAAATGAAACTATTGTTGCCTGGACTTAGATAGTTTTGGAACTCCTGATGAGGGAACCATGTTTTGGTGGGTAGTCCCCTTATCCTGGTTGGGAGCTCCTAGAAGACAGGGAATCCAACTTAGACTTTTGGCACAGGATTCAATTAACATGGGTTGAATTGAATTGAAAGATGGGAACTCTAATTTTCTATCTAACCATAAACAATCTGGTTGGGGCTTCAAGGAGGTGGGGCTCTAACAGGATGGGCAAGGCCCATGGTCGTTCTACCTACTCTTACCTTCACAAATCCTCACACTACATTCGATTCAAAACAAGCAATGTATGTGGGGCCATGGGCCATTATTGCCTGGGGCACTGTACCTCCCAGACAGGGAGGGAGGAAGGGACTCAGCAAGGGATTCAATACAGTCCAAGGAGACAAAAATGGAAGTCCTCACCCTCAAAAGGCTTCCATTCCATTCAGAGAAAAAGAGCAAATACACAGCTGATTAAATGCAACATGTAAACAAAGTACAGGGGTGGGGGTGGGGGGGGACTGTAACTGAGAGGACCAAGACAGGCTTTGTGTAGAAGATTGTACTTGAGTTGGGTCTTGAAGGAAGCCAGAGATCCCAAAACACCTAGGTAAGGAGGGAGAACATTCTAGGCATGGGGAGTGCGTAGTCTGTGCAAAGGTATGGAGCATCTCAAAATGTTCTCATACCAAAACAATGCCCTTAATACTAACCACAACGTAAAGACAAACTCTGAAAGACGTGAGAACTTTGAACTATGATCTGAACTATGACCAATCATGATTCTACATAACCTACGATAAAGTATGTTATCTGTCTCCTGATAGGGGATGGGCAGTCAATCATTAAACATTAATCATGGGCCTACTGTGTGCCAGGCACTGTGCTAAGCACTGGGGATGAAAAGAAAGGCAAAAAACAGTCTCTGCTCTCAACGAGCTCACAGTCTAATGGGGGAGACTGCATGCAAAACACCTATGTACAAACAGGCTACAGACAGGCTAAATTTTCAATAATACAGGGAAGGCATTAGAATTAAGGAGGATTAGAAAAGGCTGAGACTTGAAGAAAGCCAAGGAGGCAGGGAGATTCAGGAAGTGGAGATGAGGAAAGGATTCCATGCTGGGAGTCAGGAGATGAAGGGTCTTGTGCAGGAACAGCAACGAGGCCAGCGTCACTGGCTCACAAATCATGTGACCAATGAGGGAATCTGTTTTGCTCAATTTGGGGCATTTGTTACAAGGGCTGTAGTTTGGTTTTGCTTTTTTCAGTGTGAAGGGGAATGTTGGGAGGGAGAGAAAATAGATTTTTGTTAACTAAAAAATTTAAATTAAAAACGCTCTTGGGATGATATGGCTTAGTGGACCTCATCCTAAGCTCTCTGCAGCTTCATTCCCCTCATTCCCCTCATGCCACTTTTCACATTTTGCAGGGAGATGTTGCTAATAACCATTTGTCATTTTCTTCCTGTATTAATCCAAGCTAACAAGCAGTTATTACCACATGCCAGGCAGTGTGTCAGATGTTGTGGATACAAAGACAAAATGAAACAGGCCCTGCCCTCAAGGAATTTCCATTCAACTGGAAGGATACAATGTGTAGGCAGATAGAAATATGCATGCTCATTTGAGAAGGGAAATGAATTGTGGTCTGCAAGGAAGAGCAAAGAGGGCAGTGTCACTGCATTGTAGACTACAGGGAGGGGAGGAAGGTGTAAGAAGACAGGAGTTGAAGGAAGGGGGAGGCCTGGTTGGGAAGTCTCTGACTTTCTACCATACGATACCGAGTCCCTTCTCTGTCACTAGGTTCCTCATGGGAAAAGCTGGAGGCTGGCACCACTGCAGCTTGGTATTCTCAAGATTGGGGGACGGGGAGGGAGGAGAGTATAAGTCATCCACTTCTTCTGGGATCTGGGATGCTGCTGTGCAGGGCTCCCTGGAAGGCCCCTTCCTTCCCTCCCTTTTCTGCCCAGGTTTCCTCTTCTAGAAAAAGCTCATAAAGAAAATGAGGTACAAGGGCCGTTGCAGTGAAAAGGGGGCATTGCATTTTCAAACTAATTAAATCAAATGCTGCCCAATTACCCTGTGGAACAATCTATCCTACGCTATTAATGAGGGAATTATCTTAGTAACTCCCCAAGAAGGATTACACACACCAACACTTTTAAAGTAGTCCTTAAAGTTAACGATCAGTTTCAGAACATGGGCTTCTCTTTCCAGGAGACACACAACCTGAATGAGGAAGGATACTGACCATTCTCCAATCTTTTCTTTGTCTTTTCCCATCCCCAACCATTTTGCAACCTGGACCAAGGAGGGAGGAATATTCTGGACCTTTGACATTCTAACTGAATCAAATCAAAATGGATTCTCCAGCTGCCTGTTTCAGCGGAAAAAGCAACTTAAGTTAGGCAAGGTGGAATTCTATGTCAATCAATTTGACCAGAATGACGGGTGATTTAACTTCTAAGAAAATCTCTCGCTTTCTCCCTGATGTTAGAACCATTCAATAATAGCACCTGTGGGTGAGACATTAATTGAATTGCGGAGACGTTAACTGCTTATTTTTAGCAACATATGCTCTATGTGCACACATGTTAAAGGGGAATTACTGAATCTTGTGAATGTGACTGTCCATATGTGGAAATCTGCCCCTTTTCCAACAAGGATGCCTATGTGCCAAGAGTACAAAGAAGCAGATCCTGGGTCCTCCAAGCCATTAGGGCAAGCTAAGGCAAACTGAGCAGATCCAAGCCTGCCCGGGGCCTTCCAATCAGTCTTCCCAACTTCTCTTTCCTAACAAACTCACTGGTTTGTTTATATCCTGCTTTGCTCCAATTCAAGGCCATTCGACTTCTGCATTGCTAAGATCCCCCTTTCAAAGGGTCTGTGATGCTCCAAGTAGGCTCAAAATCACCCTGCCTTCTCCTGTGAACAGGGCCCAGCTTCCACACAGGAGCCTAACCCAATCAAATCACCAACTGCAAAAACATCTGCATTGAGAACCACTGGGCTGGCCTTCTTGTCCATCTCCCTCCTAATAGGCAGCAATGCACTTAAGAGAATCCCAGAAAAATGGGCTACGTGTTTGGTTCTGCAAAATCACTCCAACTTCCAGGGCTGGTTGGGAGCTCTTCTGTGGGCCTGGAGAAGAGTTGATCTGCCAAATGCCTGCCCCACATTCTGGATCCTTCTGAAGAGGAGGCTGGGTCTCGTTTTCTTTGCCTGAATTAATGTCCCAATATGCCCTCCTCCAACGTGAACTCTGACTAAACGACTTCAGCTTCTCCCACCATTCTTGGCCCCCAAAACTCATACACCATCTCAGGCACGTGTGCACACATCCGGGATAATGCTGGCAGGTAAGTAATGATGTGCCTCAGACCACAATGACATTAAAAGTTTTATTGAACAAAAGATAAAACATGGAAGTCTGAGTTCACAGAGAAAAGCAGCTCTCTTGCTCAAAATGTACCTTGTGCTAAATAACCTTATTAACAGCGACTGTGGAAAGGACATGGAATACGTAAAGTTACGTCAACAGCCAGGGAGAACAAGGAGGATTCATGGGGGCCGAAGGGACAATGAGGCCAGGACAAATCTATCTGCTCAGGATGAACATGCTTCTGGCCCTACGCCCTGACATTCAATATAGGTGGGCTGACTGCCCAAAGGTCATCAGTTGGTATAAATGGCAATTGCTTCTTGGAAGAAGATTTTGACAATTTTTTGTATTTATTTGAAGTGCTATCCAATTTTTAAAACTTAGAATGTCTTATGTTTGTACTGACATGATGCCCATGATGGCAGCCCAGAGCCTGGCTTTGAGGATGAGACTGTGCTGCTTTCTGGTAGTACGTTTTTACAAGGAGTTCTCCTGTCTGTCTAAGCAACTTCCAGTCAGGTGGGCTGAGCAAGAGAGCGAGAGAGAAAGCGAGAGAACGAGAGAGCGAGAGAGCGAGCGAGAGAGAGAGAGAGAGAGAGAGAGAGAGAGAGAAAGATGGCCAAAGTACTTCATGAACAGAGGGAGGCAGCTCATCCAGATGGCCTCCCTCACAGTCAAAAAACCAGTAGCAAACACCTTTCCATCTTAAAGCACAGAAAATGTGGTTACACATGGGCGACAACATCCCACAGCCAAAGTGACTGGTTGGGCTTCCTCCCAGAAGCCCACCCCACTGATGTACAAAGTAGGGATCCACAGAAGCAAAACAGCTGAAAGACAATACCTTGCTTTTTCATTGGTTAAACATTTGGCTCTGATGAATACACGTTATAACCACAGATAAACATTCTACAATAAACAAACACCACAAATAACATCAACGCTGCTTGTTTGCCAGTCACGGGTCCTAACGAATACTACTTAAGAACAACGCAAGCAACAAGAAGAGGAAGAGAACCCCCAGCCCCAGATCCAGAGAGGATGGCGGCCCAGAGGCTAAGGGGCTGACAGAGGTGACTCTCGAGAAGGGGACCCTGCGGCATCTTCGGGAGGAAAAACCGTGAGGGTGCAAGCTCGGATCCCACCAAGAGATTCGGGGAGGTCAAAAACTTTGTGCCACTCATCCTTTTCTGGATCATACTTCTGGACTATCTCTACCATACAGCGGTTGTTCCAAGAGTACCCACCCACCACATAGATTTTATTTTCAAACACAGCAACCCCAACATCACTCTGCCCTCTTAACATAGCAGCAATTGGAGTCCACTGATCAAGTGCTGGAGAGTAGTATTCACAGCTGAGAACATCATCGTAATCACTGGTTCCTCTAAAGTGGTTTCCACCAATCACGTAAAGCTTTTCTCCGACGGTGCACATGCAGTGCAGGCCTCTGACCGTGGTCATAGGAGCTTTCTGAGTCCACTTGTCTGTGTCTGGGTCAAAGCACATGAGCTCTTTTTGGAAAGTGTCATGAGTTATTCCTCCTGAAGAGTGAAAAAAAGAGGCATTGAGTGCGCAGGCTGCACCTACTAGGAACACTCACATTCATTTCTGAATCACTCTAAGGTGCTCAGCAGGAAACATCAGCATCATTGTATCCATCTGACTGGCGAGAGAAATCAGGCTGTGAGAGAGGTGAGGTGCCTTACCCAGGGGCACACAACTAGGAAACATCTGACGAAAGATTTGAACCCAGGCCTCTTGACTCCAAAGCCAATGATCTTTCTGCTAGCCCAAGCTGCTTACACCACCCCGACAGAAATTTAGGCCAAACGCTTGCAGCAGCGACACAAGGTATGGTCTGGTTACTGGATTATGAGAGTGTATGAAAGGTGGTCCTAAAAACGTGGACCCAACAGATGTTTCTATAAGCCACAAATGGAAGAAATTAGCATTTCACCTTGGAAAAGAAAACCAGCATGTGCCCCTTCCTGCCCTTTCTTGATACAGTAGTTTCCAAGGCTCCCTCAAAGGAAGTTGAGCTGCTTAGAAATAGATCTGGAGCCAAACAGTGGGGGGTAGCCATGAAGACCTTTTTACCTTCTCCTATTCCGAGCACCATCTGCAGTGCAAATGCTGGGCTAGCTCCTTACCTTGGCTAATTTCATTAGTGGTCAAAGTGGGTAACATCTGCCCCCTACTTCTCAGGAGTAAGAAGGACCAAATGAATTCATAGAAGGAAAGTGCTCTGAGCAATCTTCACATACAGGGCCAGTGGGGAGACCATGACAAGGCCAGATGTCCTGAGGACTGGAGTAGGCCACAAGAAGCTGAGAAACACTTAGAAAGGAGACGTTTCTAGACAATCATGAACAGGGCGTCGAGAAGGCTGTGACCTTGGCCATTTAGGTCCTCTTTCAAACTAGAGAAGGAGGTTTCTGCAATGCTCACTTGCCTCCCTTAGATTTGAAACAGAATCATTCAGAAAATGTGGCCAACTCTGGGAATCTCTAAACTATGACAATTCCTAGAGGCTGGCAGAGTGGGGTGAGGTAGCTCAATGCACTAGAGACCATTGACCTTGGGCATCTCCCAGTGGGTAGGGCCCTAGAGAGCTGCAGCTGTGGATGTAGGGCCTTAGAGGGTATTTATTAGTACGTTTTTATCATCTGCCTAATTGATTTACTCTCTCTAGATCCTGCCCAGCATGCACCTGGCCTAAAGAAAGTCTCCAGTGAATCATTCCTTTGCCCCCCTGTACTTTAGTTGCAGAAGAGGCCAAGTGCCAGCAAAGCAAGCCACCATCAGAAATATGATGCCCACGGACCGGCTGTGAGAGCCACACAATGGCAGAGGCTTATACCACGTACTCCTTTTCCATTCTCTGCCTATACAGTGATTGGTGAAGCACAGAATGGTGATCCACAGGCCCTACAATATTGCCAGGCACCCAAGAACTTCTGCGTGGCCCATGGGAATAAAGCAGGTTCTAATAACCCTGAGTTTCTATGAACCCTCATGTCTTGTTGTCCTCCAGCACTGCCAGTCACTGAGGCTTTCCTACTCTGTGTTTTCTGCGTGATGCCTGGGGACAATGCCCTAGCAGTCTCAACTGAGCATCACATCAGGGCTAGGGGTGATCCTGCTAGAGCCAGCACACAGACATCACTCATGGCCATTGAGAGACAGCCATAGAAACCTGCATTCATTCATTATCTCTGCTGTGCTCAACACAGTTCACATGATGCCATATGAATTACAAAGAAACTCCTGGGGAAGAGAAGGCACCATCCTGACAGGTTTCCCATTTCACTTAGACAATTCTGCCCCAAATACAAGGCCAAAAGGTGCCAAGACACGTTGTGGGCAATGCGCACATCTCGAGGCCGAGAAGCGTGCCCTCTGATCAGGCAGACAAGCTCTAGCACAGTGACACGCCAGCCTCAGGCCTGGAAGATGTCTCAGAGAAGCATTTTTAGGGAGGTGGTGGCAGGAAGGGCAGCCAGGTTCACTGTAACTGAGCCTCTCAGCTCCAATGCTACTAGTCTGCCATGTGAATACCCTTCAGCGCTTCTCACCCATCCCTACCTCAAACACAGCCCAATCAGTTTTTCTAGAAAAACTCAACTCAACTTGCAAATCAGCCCCACCACCACCAAATTACCAGCCAACAACCCCACACCAGGTGGCAGAAACGCATGGCTGGGCTGGGTATGGACGGCCCCCTTTTCTTTCTCCTATAGAGCTCCCTTGCCAATCTCATCCCAAGCACATGTCTGTTTCTGGGGTTGAGGAAGGGTCAGTGCTGTGCCGTGCCATGCCCTACTCCTAGAAGCTGGGAACTCAAGTCCTAACAATGCACTTACTGTAACAAAATTCTACAACAAAACCACCTGAGGTCCTGGTTCAATGAGCTGATGGGCTTGCAGCATTTAGAACTCTCAGGGACGTACCCATTTCAAGTCCATCTGGGGCTAAACAGGAGCTGAATATGGCAAGCAGTGGATTTCTCAGTGAGTTCTTTCTCTAAAAGAATAATTAAATCTTCAGTTGCCCCAGGAAGTCTTGGAGAAGCTCAGTTCTACCAAGTACACAGGGCCCACCACACCCTGTTCTGTCCCTCAAGCACACTACAGATACTAAGTACTCTATCTGCCTTGCCTGACTCTCACATACAATTAGTTGCAGCTCAGCCAGAGTATCCAGCGAGCACCATCTCTTGATCTGGCTGACAACAGCCCTCAGCAAGGGAAAAAAAAAAAAACCTAGCCGAAGGAAGCACCAGGGTCCACCACCAAGGTCTGGGCCTTGGAGGCTCCGACTGGAATCTTCACCCCATCAGAATGAATGGAGAGAAGAGAGCTAGTCCCAAAGTGTTCAGAAGGGGAGCTTGGGTGACTAACGCACAAACGAAGGGAAAACAAGCTGTCACAAGCACAGTAAGTACACCAGTGGGGACTGGGCAGAGGACTGTTTGTAAGGGGCTGATCTGGACAAAATGAGTTGGACGTCTCTATTAAGCAGCTGAATGCAGCATTAACATTGACCTCCGCAGTTAAAATGCCGGTATCAGAGTCCGGGCTGGGGAAAGGACCAGCAGGGGGGCAGTCAGGCTGCAACAGAGTCAAGAAAGGCCCATCTCTCTTTGGCCCCGCAGCAGAAATCAACGTTCCCCAAGACAACCCATGGAGCAGAGGATTTGGAGCTTCAAGGAAGCTCAGGAACCATCTAAGCCAGAGGTATCAAATTGGCCCTAGGGGTGAACCAGATTCCAACAAAACTAGGAAATAGTTAACAACATACAGAAAAACGCAATACCATATAACTAATGGGCATCTGTGGTTTTCTAAGTCAACACATTTTAATGTTTGAGTTTGACACCCCTGATCTAAGGCAACTCCCTTGTTTTACAACTGTGGAAGGGAAATGATTCACTTAGGGTCCCCCAGGTAGGAGGTAGCAGAGGCAAGATCCCAGCTCAGGGCTTCTGCCTACACTGCACCACAGTGCCTCTTCCACAGCACTGGAGCCCGTCAGGGCCACTGTTGAAGACACCTGACCACTCACTTTCCCCTGCACATCCTTCCTTTTCTCTCAGTTTAGGTCTCTCCCCCTTTTCCTTTTTTCCCTTCCCTTTGGGATGAGCAGGCCTGCCACTGCCTCCCTTATGATGATGCTCAAAGCTAAGAGCATCACTGCCAGCCCCTGCTTCAACTGATAACTAAATAAGCTCTTCACGAAATGCTAACACTCTTCCCCTGGTACAAAGCATTTGGAATGGAGTCAAAATAGGCCAATTTCATTTACATTGCTAGAGAGGGAAAATCTCTACTGTCAATGCTTGGTCATCAATGGGAGAAACGTCTCCAATAAATTTTATTTCCAAATCCTTAACAGGTCCCTTCCCTCACATGCTTAGTCTGCTGCCACTTTAACAGGGGCCTAGCCAGTAGCTCAAAGAAATCCCCCCTTGGGCCCAGTCTGGGAGGGGATGCTGTCCATTTTTGGTGGGCTGTAGTGAGCTGGGAAATGGGGAAGTGGAAAATTTGGATGTTTATTTTAAGTCAGATATTTATAATATGAAACGATTTGCTTCCAGTGTTAGCAAATCATAGGCAACTGTATTCAAAAGTCAAGATAGAGCACCTTCCCAAAGCACAGAAACATTATCGTTGGCTTAGCCACTGTCACAGCTTGCAGGTACAACCGTTCCTACCTATGAGCATGGAGAATGGAGAGGTGGTGATATCATTTTCTTCAGGGCCTCTCTATTGGGCGAATCTCACTCACAGATGAGTATTGTTTACTTTACCTGAAATATACATCATCCCTCCATACACGGTACCAGCATGGCCATAGTGGGGCTCGTTCATCTTGGCAACATAGCTCCATTCATTCATCCTTGGGTTGTAACACTCCACTGTGGCTGGTGTGAGAAGAACACAAGGAGATCTTTTTAAAACCTCAAGGCGCATAATCAAGTCATTTCTTCCAAGAATAATGGTCACACACACACACACACACCAGAAATACATCCATTATGCATGAGAGGTCCCTTGAAAAGGATCTTATGATAATGCCAGAAATTACATGAATAATTTAGATAGACTCACTGAGTCGGGAGAGTCCTTGGAGAATGTCTAGTCCCCTAGGCCAACCTCCTCATTTCCAGCTGAGGCCCAGAGAGATGAGGTGACTTTTCTCATCTCATATCGCTAGTTAGCGCAAGTACCGGACCTAAAAGAGAGTTCTCAGCATTCTTCCAACTCAGCACTCTATTTCAACAGCGAAGACACAGCATGCAAGGCCTGATTTGTTCATTTAATAATCGCACATGCTTCTGTCGTGTCTTGTCACTCACATTCTAAACTGGCATTCCTCCTATGTACTTGGTATAAAAATGTATGGGTGATGTAGGAGGGGGGCCTAAAAAAATCACCAGGATTAAAAAGGGCTTCAATTCTATTCCCCTACTTGGAGACTAAGCAATGCAAAACAGGCTTTCAAGGAAGCCAGGGTCACCTTCAAAAGCCCATTGGATCAGTCCAAATGCAGATTACAAAATGGATGCATGGGCTTGAGTGCTTGCCCATGGGCATCTAGAAAGTCACTGACCCTACCTTTGGAAGCAACTGCATGCTCGTGACTTGAAGATGATTAGAGGCAAAACTTGAAAGGCCAAAGTCAAGGGCATGATTACAGTGCATTTTCTCTTGCAATAATGGATTTCCCTTGAACACAAAACGTTTGAGAGAACTGACCAGCAACTCATTCAAAAATCTCCAAGCTAGGCAAGGCAAATGAGCAACTGTAAAGGAGAGATGGGGCAGGGCACCATTCTGATCCAAAGCAGCAAGATGTCACTTGCATATAAGGGAAGAAGAAGTCAGGTAACAGATGCTTTGGGCCCAAATCTCAGGTAAAAGACCATTATATGTCTGTGGATGGCAGAGCCCACGTGCTGCTTTCTCTCTCCTTTTTGGATCACGCATGTCAGAAACATTACACTTCAGGGAACGCTGAGCAAAGCTGTTACTACCCTTTGGGCTCTGGTAGCCACCCAGTGATCTCTCTGCCACATTCACTAACCTAGAGGTTGGGGTTTCCTTTTGCCTTGACTCAACTACCCCCATTGGCTTCCTTATTCTTTGTTAAGAACTTTGAAATCCTTGTCCAGATGTTCACAGATCATCAGACACACATCATGGCATCATACATCGGGAAACTGGCCATAAGAATTTTCTAGAAAATAGATTTTGGCCTCCTCATCCCACACTAAATGGTTTAGCTAGGAGAGTCAATCAATTAATCAATCCAATCTTAGGTCAAAAGACCTCATTCCAAAGGTGGACTGAGTAATACTAAGGCCCCAGGGATGGACACCCAGGGCAGCTCCAGCAGAGGCTATACTGTTGACTTATAAAACACCTCCAAGCCCACCACCCCACCCAGCCCAGCCCACCTTATCCCACCCAGCCCTTCACCCTTGCTGCTTCACTAAATTGCAGCATTTCTGTGCCCATCTGCCCAAGAATAAAGGTATTTCCATAGCCAAGGCCAAGGCCAAATAGTGAATGTCATTGTCATCAACCACTGTTTCTTCAGTCTATCTCCCAACTGTCTTTATACAGCTTGACTCTGGGCTATCTAATAAACACAAACGCCACTGAGTTATAGGAGCATACACTTAGAGCTGGAAGGCCCTTAGAGGCTACTAAGTCCAGTCACTTAATTTTTACAGAAGGGGAAAATGAGGCCCAGAGAGGTACAGTGACTTGCCCAGGATCACATAGTTGGTAAATACCTGAGGCAAGATTTGAACGTAGGTCTTCCTGACTCCAAGACCAGTGGTCTGTCCACTGCATCCTCTCCTCTCGCTATGCTTACAGGAAGGCCCAGTATATTGATGACTATATGGCATCAGCAAAGAAATTAATGGGAACTGATTTATACAAGTGAAAAAGGCAGTTTGATCAGGAAGACCAACCCCCAACAGAAGGTAGAAAGGGAAGCCCAGAGATCAACTCCACATGGAGCACTCACCTATCCTGTTCCAAATGCCTGCTGCTGTCCTGAACTCTGTCATTTCTAAGAGGAGAAAGTCCACACAATTTTATGACCTATACTGGTATAGAAAAGCCCCTCCTTATGTCCAATCTTTAGTAATTCTGATACAAGTTAGGAGGCTTTCTTCTCACTTGGTCTGTAGTGGGGATGGAGGCTGAATAGCCAGCTGCTCACCACCACTGGCAGCAGCATTATGAATGTCATATTAATACCAGAAAGAGAGAGGTAGGATTGCCTTGTGGAGAGAGAAGGGAATCTAGAGGCTGGAAAACCTAGGTTCAAATGCAGTCTGTCTGTCTGTCTGTCTGTCTATCTCTGCAACCATGAGTAAGGCACTCCCTGAGACTCGGGTAGCCGGGAAAGTTATCTCCCAAGTCAGTTACACATCAGCAATTTGTGACTGGGGGATTCAGACGGAACCACCCTCAGGACAAGTGGTGGGGGCGTTCTGGTCCCGGGTTCTGCTGATCAGGAACCCCTGCTCGTGGATGCTACAAGGATCTGCAAGGTGGCTCACTGACCTTTTCTTCAGCTACATATGAAAAATATAGGGGAAGAATCTCCCAACCTTCTCTTCTGCTAACTATCAAACTCTGTCATTGTTTTTTCAGTCTCCAAATCATTTTCATTGACTTCCTTTGGCTCTTCTCTATAAACAGCTCCCTTGACCTATTAAACCCACATAGCCATGCACCTGATTCAAGGGAGCCTTGCGCTCTTGCCTGGGACACTACTTACCAGTCAGCTTGATGTAGGGCACCTGGTGCCAGCAGCAAGACTGGGGGGGGGGGGAAGAGCAGAGAAGCCAAGTGCCAAGCACACGTAAAGGAACAGGCACAATGTGGCTGCTCCACATTACTCTTTCAAGAGCTAGCATGGCAATGGGCCACCCGCACACCCACCTCTAATAGCCAGAGAAGACAATCGACATGTTGGCAGGCTGGCTAGCACAGGGGACATCTCCAGGGTGTCTCATTTACCCAGCCCCGCCGAATGAATGGGCCTCCTTGGGAGAAGTGGGGGGCGTCAAGGACTTCCTGACCCTGGGACTCCAAGCAGGCTTAGAGCCAAGGCTTTGGAGCAGGGGCCAAGAGAGTGGCAAGAAGGGTTGGTAGCCCCTCCAACAATTCCGGGGTGGGGAGGAAGGGGGAGGGGGCCTTGGACCCAGTTCTAAGGCACCAAAATTTAGTCAAGAGAGTCCAAAGCCATGAAGGAGATTGGAGCACTTCATACGTTCTGTCAGGAATTTCATAGACATCTATTTGAAAATCCAATAGCATTCCATAAACAAGCCCATGTCTTTAAAGCCCACTATATTAATATCTAACTGAAGTAACAGATCTAAGCTGTCACCTCAGGTCTACAATTTAGAAAGCTCAACAGAAGACAGATCTCTTAGGCTCCTCATTCATGGAAATGCACCAGCTGCTCTGAGATGCCCTAAGCTTCCCACTGTAAGTGTTGTCAAAGAAAAAGAACCTTCCCCAGGAGCTACTGGGACTCCCAGCCAGGAAGCTGGGGGCTTTCTGCTGTGACATGGTTCTGGCCTTTCCTAATCCTTTGCAGAGACCTGGTGAAGAGAGGAAATGACACACATTTATATGAGCTCAGAGTGCTAGCAAGTTTCACCAACTCTTGTCCTTTCCTAAGTCTACACAGGGAGGCTAATCATTTCTCAGGCCAGGCCCCAGCCCCTGTGGGGGAAGCCACAGAAAGCCAAATGCTTTCTTTGGGACCACAGTTGGATATCCAGAAGTCAAGATAGGCCTAGGAAAACAAGAATGAGTCACCAATACAAGGCTTTTCCTTATTTCCACGAGGCTCTTATAGGAGTTTCCAATTCAATTTAACTAACATTCATTAAGTTCCACTCTGTGCCCAACCCTCTACGAAAGCCAACTGTGAGCCCCATCCAGAGTCTGCATGGGGGGTTGGCAAGACATGCCTTAGAAGCACCTTTGCATTCAGCACCATGTGCTGCATGAAGTTTCCGCTGCTTTATTTTGGGGTCAGAGGGTGAATAAAAAGGTAGACAAGGGAACCACAGAGTCAGTTTTATCTCAGGGAACAGATCAGTCTCTGATGTTGCTTGTGGGGTAGGGGGTGGGGGGCATCTGAGAGTCTTCCACTTCCCAAGGGACCAAATTTGTGCTCTGGACAAGTGTGACTCCAGCAAGAGTCATTAGGAAGATTTTAAATAGATCGAGTGTTATGTATGCAACCTAGGCCGGAAGAAGATGAGAATGACGGAGACTGCCCAAGTCAACATGTCAGCTCGTGTATATGTGGCTGGAAGGTCATTAGCATGCTTGGCTACATATAAAAATAGTGAGTTGTCTTTGGAAAGAAGTCTGCCTGCTTGTGTCTTATGGGGTCTTGTGGATAACGGATGCTATTTTCTGTACTTAGCTCTAAACACATCCACGTGAAAAGATGGAATTAGAAAAGACGAGGTGCCGACATGAGTCACACAGAACAAACAAATCCCATCTGTCTATGTCTTCTTGAGGAAATAGGGGCTGATTTTCACTACATAATTAAATTAGCTTGATATATAATGCATTCTGGATCTCAAAGTTGTTCTGGAGAAAGGAAGATGATCCACAATTTCACCCAAAGGGAGATTAATCAATTCAATTCCACTACATTTCTCGAGGCTGCTATACATAGGAGGGCCAGGAGAGCAGGGCACAAGGCCTTAACTGTCACACACATTCCTGCCTAACGCAAGACAGATAGGCTTCCTGAGCCTTCCAAATCCAAGCCCTGCTGATGGATTTGCTCACACTAGCTACTTCCCAGTAATGGGTTCCCCCAAATCTGAGAGCTGTCACTCCTCTGCCTAAACTTCCAATTGGTCCTAATTGGCATTTAGGGTCTCGTTCTACTGGCGAAGCTGAAGGTACAATGCTTCTGCTTGGAGAAAGGGGCATAAAAAACACGAAAGAGGGCATTCAAATGCAGCTATGACAGAGCAGGGGGAAAGAGCTCTAGCTAGTGAGAGTCATTGTTTGTGCAGCACTCCCAGATGGCAGGCCTGTGTGCTTGGCACTGGCCATGTCAGGAGGCTCAAGACCCAGGCTCTGACCTTTTCAGCTGATAGGAGCTCCTGGACTACTGGACGTCACCAAGCATGTCCTCAGGGGAAGGAGAGCAGAGGGCTTGGGATAGATGAGAAAGGACGTGACCATAAGCTAGGCAGGGAAAAATTCACAAAGAAGCCAAACCAAAGGCCTGGGCTTCAAATGCTCTTGGGCACACAAAGACCATTTTAACATGGAGACTTTTTTTTAAGGTAACTTAGTTGAACCACATACATTTGCAACAAGGCAAACTTAGGCCTGACATGAGGGAAAGCTTCCTAACAGTCAGAAATATGTCATGGCAGAGAGGGCTGTGGCACAGGTGGAAGTGTGCTCCTCCTCCTCATTGAAGGCCTTCATGTGGATGACTGCCCACTTGTCAGGGATACTGCAGAAGGGAATCTGGGGCAATCTTCAGCTGGATGAGGTGGCCTAGGAGGCCCCTCCAAATTCAGAAATCCAAGGGGCAGCTAGGTGGTACAGTGGATAGAGCTCCAGCCTTGGAGTTCAAATCTGGCCTCAGACACTTGACACTTACTAGTTGTGTGACCCTGGGCAAGTCACTTAACCCCGACTGCCTCACAAAAAAACCCCCAAAAAAACAAAATTCAGAAATTCTACAGGTAATTATGTGTGACTGTATGCATGTATGTATGTGTGCATGCACATGTGTGTGTGTGTGTGTGTGTGTGTGTGTGTGTGTGTGTGTGTGTGTGTGTGTGGAGAGAGAGTATACTACCTGTCTTATACAAATGATTTTAAAAACAGATAACAAGTTGGGAATAAAGATGTATGAAATCTTGAAGTTCAGAATCTTGCTTATTTAAAGCTAATAAAGGTATTATGGTACGGTATACAGAGATCTGGAGGGAAGACCTGGGTTCAGATTGTACCCCTAACCCTAACTAGTTGGGTGGCCACAAGTAATGCATTTGATGTCTCTAAGCCCCAGCTTCCTTAGCTATGACATGGGGATAATAACACTATCACATGACTTCACAGGGCTGTCAATGGGGCTAAACGGGTAACATTATGTAAAGTACTTTGCAGATTATAAAATGCTATTTGCGTATCAACTATCATTTTGATTCAAAATAACAAGCACACAGACCAGACCATCCTTGGAGTGTGGATCTGGGAGAAAGGTTTAATGATGTCTTTTCGAATTCTCCAGGAAAAAATCAAAATGCTGTGCCCCATACAAAGACCAAGTAATGTTAGCAAACTTCCAGCTGGGACATGCATTTATGTGGTGCCTTGAGAAGAATGCTGCCTTCTTTGCAGAAGCATCGTTGCTGTTCCCCCAGAGTAAGCACTTATTACTGGCTTGTTGAATTGAACTGGCCGAGGCATCTAGCCGCCATCTTGTTTTCAGAGATCCAAAAGCACTAAATGAGTAATTAAAAGGAATTACTTACTTACTCAAGTACTTGAATTTGCTCTGAAGTCAGCTCGACTGTACAGGCTGGTTTGGAGGAAGGGCCACTGGTGCTCCTACAAGGGGGCTTTCACCAAATGAGTTGATGCCGATTTCAAAGGGCTTTGGAGAGGACACCCAAGGGAGGTGGCTACAGAAGGGGAGCCAGCACTAACAGCAAAAATCTTCCTACTCACCTAAAGAGGTGTACCCACTAACACACTCTTCTCTCGTGAAACTAGTCAAGATGATGCAAGAGAAAAAGATGGCACTCCTGAGCCTTCATCTACACAGGTAGGGTTTTTTCTAGCATGGCACTGGCAACGAGACATGCCAGGCCATGTGTTCCCTGCCCAGGGCCCTTTTCAAACAAAGGCATTTGTGAAGCAGGAAGCTGGGGCTCAAACCACAATCTAGCATGTGAGGACCATTTCTCTGCGAACCTGTCCTGGCTCACTGGAAGAAAACTAGGCATATCAAGTTGACCTCCTCAGTACCATATCCCAAACCAATTCACTAATCAAATGCTTAAGACAAAACTAATAGTTATTCATCTATGGTCATTAACTACTAAAACTCCTCAAGCTGGTATTGGCAATATACTTTTATACCTACCACTGACCCTTTTTCTTTCTTTCTTCCTTCCTTTCTTTCTTTAAAAAAAAAAAGGCTATAATATCAATAAGTGTTTTATGGGGTCAGTCTTTTGAGTTTACCAAAGGGGAGCTGCAGTCTTCCTGATTTCCTTTTTGTGAAGCCTTCTTACTCCAATTTGATTCAGAATAAGAAAATTACACCTTGTATAGTTAATTACAGGCAGCCAAAGCACCAATACATTAAACTGTAATCGCGAGCAATCATGGCTTAGGAAGGAAAAAAGAAGTTACCAACATAATCAAGTAGAGTGCACAAGGACAGCTTAGAGCAAGCAGCCCAAGTTTGGTTTTCACCAAGAGAAAATGTTTTCTAAGTACCATGCAAATGGATTGAGCTGGTCAGAAGGTTGGGAACTACACAAAGTAAATCATGGAACATGACAAACATCTTTTATTTCATCTATTTGGGAGCTTATCTTTATCTTATCATAATGTTTCTAAAAGGTAACAAAGACTATCTAGAAGGAAAAAAAGCCATTGTTAATCTACTAAAATGACTCATTTTACCTGCTCAACAAAATACTTGGAAAGTATGGGGGAGGGGGGAGGTATATAAAAATGGAAACTAAGGTAAACTGGCCTAATTTCCTGCCAAGTTGCTATTACAATTGAAACTGTAACCACAGAATGATTCTGTCATTCAAGTTACAGAACTGCCTTATGTGAGCCAAATAAATTCATACGGAATCTAGTGACTGATTTTCAAGCTGTATCTGAAATGGAGCCAGGAGCCAAACACAGCACCCAGGTAAGGTACAGAGACTATGTCTGGAAGCTCCTCAAAGAGAAGAATTTCCCACAATGAAACTCTGGTGCCATGCCTTGGCTTCTCATTTCAGAGAGCTGGTTATGTCAGAAGTGGGACTGTCAATGCCAGGAAGAGCCACCTCCTCCTCCACCCCTACTTACCCAGTTCCCCAGCTGCGTTGCGGCCACCCACGGCATACAGATGGCCCTTGAGGGCACTCAGGTGAAAGAAGGTGCGCTTTTCATTCAGCGATGCCACTTGCATCCATTTATTGTAACGAGGATCGAATCTGAAGACCGTGTCAACGGCTGTTTTGCCTTTTGTGTCGTAATTACTCTGGCCGCCAACGACATAGAGGAAGTTTCCAATGACTGCGATGCCATGCTGGTATCTCGGGGCATCCATGGGGGCTAGAGATTTCCATTCATGGGACTTCTCATCATACATTCTCAATTCCTTGCTGACCACTAGCTGCTGTCTCAGGACGCCTCCCAAGGTCACCAGGTGAGTACTGTCGGAGCGGATGGCGGTCCTCTCTGACTGCATCACGGGCTGCATGTAGGGCATCATTTGGTAGTTGCTGGCTTCTAGAAGCAAGTTCACACAAGTATTGTCCGTTCTCATAAAGTCCACAGTTTGCACGTAATTAATGAGATCTTGTGGTGTCATCAGGGGAAAGCGAATATTCTTCATTAGTTTGGAAGCGAACTCCATCCGCAATTCGTCCGAGCGGAGCCAGCGACAGGCGGCTTTGAAGAGATCAAGCTCACTGCAGTGCTTAAGGCTATTGCTGGAAAGCACAAAGGCCAACCGCTCAAAGGGGAGCTTCACAAACTCACCGCTGTTCAGGACGGCAGGGAAGTTCTGCCGGATGAAGTTGTTCACATATTTGTCCACTTCTGCGAGGTTGTAGGTGTTGGCAATGCGTCCCACTTCAACACAGTTGTCTAAAGAGACCTGTTCAGTGAAGACAAAAGGGATCATGATGCTTTGTGTGGTGGGGTGCAATATATGTACATATGTGTGCATGTGTTGGGGCATGTCTTGGTATACATTGGAATAGCACAGTTAAGTCAGAAACTACATAAGAATATAAGCAAATGCTCATATCTCAGTAGAATAGTGAATAGAAAACTCAAATCACTTTTTTTTTTGTCTAACTCAGGGAAAGGCTGAAAAAACAAAGCAACCACCTAATCAATTAAGTCAGATAAATGCTGAAACTCAGTAGGACTCAAGACAACTAGAGCTATTATTTTCCCTGCTCAAATATGTATAGCCTAAAATGTTTTTAATTTTGGTCAAATCCAAATTCCGAAAATATTCAGAAGAATTAGATGTTTCCTTTCAATCATAAGCCAGATTCGCCAATTTGAAAAAATAAAACAAAAACACCATCTCACAACACTGGCAGGACACAGCACCAGCCTCCCTCCCATCCACCTCTACCCTTTTCTCTTGGTTTCTTAAAAGGTCATGTTTCCCTTGGAAGCACCATTAGGCAAGAACCAATAAAAAGTACAAAAGTGATGCTACCTGTGGACCCAAGAGTGTCGTTGCTCAGACATTAGCTCAAAAGTGCTTTCTCCCTCAAAGAATTCAGAGTGGCTCCCTTTGGAAAAACAAACTATCTGGGCAACAATCTACATGTCCAACAATTAGTATATTAAAGGCAATGAATATTTCAGTGCCATATAAATGGAACGTATGGAAAGCCTATGTGAAGTTATCACTTCTTTAAAAATCAATGTTTTTATTATGACCAAACAAGAGATAGAAAACATGATGAGATACAAAATGCAGGACTCTGATTACCTTAAATTAAAAAGGTTTTGCACAAACAAAGCCAATGCAGCCAAGATTAGAAGGGAAGCAGAAAGCTGGGGAATAATTTTTACAACTAGTGTCTCTGATAAAGCCCTCATTTCTAAAATATATAGAGGATTGAATTGAATTTATAAGAATACAAGTCATTCTCCAATTGATAAATGATCAAAGGATATGAACAGGCAGTTTTCAGATGAAGAAATTAAAGCTATCTATAATCATATGAAAAAATGCTCTAAATCACCACTGATTAGAGACACATAACACCTACTAGCTTTGTGACCCTGGGCAAGTCACTTAACCCCATTACCTAGCCAAAAAAAACCCCAAAAAAACAAAAAACAAATAAAAAGACAAATAAAAACAACTCTGAAGTGCCACATCACACCTATCAGATTGGCTAACATGACAAAACAGGGCAACGAGAAATGTTGGAAAAGATGTGGGAAAATTGGAACACTAATGCATTGTTGGTGGAGTTGTGAACTGATCCAGCTATTCTGGAGAGCAATTTGGAACTATGCCCAAAGGACTACAAAATTGTACATATACTTTGACCCAGTAATACCACTTCTCAGTCTGTATCCCAAAGAGATTATAAAACTGGGAAAAAGACCTACATGTACAAAAATATTTATAGCAGCTCTTTTATGGTGGCAAAGAATTAGAAATTGAGGGGATGCCCATCCACTGGGGGAATGGCTGAACAAGCTGTGGTATATGAATGTAATGGAATACTATGGTGCTATAAGAAATGATGAGCAGGCATGGGTAGGCCAAGCTAATATAATAAAAATGACAATCCTACCTAAGCTAATTTACTTATTCAGTGCCATACCAACCAAACTACCAAGAAATTATTTTATAGAGTTAGAAAAAATAATAACAAGATTCATTTGGAAAAACAAAAGGTCTACAATATCAAAGGAACTAATGAAAAGAAATGCAGGGGAAGGTGGCCTAGCAATTCCAGATCTTAAATTATATTATAAAGCAGCAATCATCAAAACTGCTTGGTACTGGCTAAGAAATAGGGAGGTGGATCAGTGGAATAGGTTAAATATGCAAGACACAGTAGTCAATGACTATAGTAATCTATTATTTGATAAACCCAAAGACCCCAGCTTCTGGGATAAGAACCCACTCTTTGAAAAAAACTGCTGGGAAAACTGGAAAAGAGTATGGCAGAAACTAGGCATAGATCCAAATCTCACACCATCTACCAAAATAAAGTCAAAATGGGTTCAGGACTTAGATATAAAGGCTGATACCATAAGTAAACTGGGAGAACAAGGAATAGTTTACCTCTCAGATCTATGGAGAATAGAAGAATTCATGACCAAACAGGAGATAGAGAACATTATGAAAAGCAAAATGGATCATTTTGATGACATTAAATTGAAAAGTTTTTGCACAAACAAAGCCAATGCAACCAACATTAGGAGGGAAGCAGAAAACTGGGAAAGAATCTTTACAACCAGTGTCTCTGATAAGGGCCTCATTTCTAAAATATATAGAGAATTAAGACAAATTTATAAGAACACAAGCCATTCCCCAATTGATAAATGGTCAAAGGATATGAACAGACAGTTCTCAGATGAAGAAATTAAAGCCATCTATAGTCATATGAAAAAATGCTCTAAATCGTTATTGATTAGAGAAATGCAAATCAAAACAACTCTGAGGTACCACATCAAACCTATCAGATTGGCCAACATGACAAAACAGGAAAATGATAAATGTTGGAGAAGATGTGGGAAAACTGGAACGCTAATACATTGTTGGTGGAGCTGTGAAATGATCCAACCATTCTGGAGAACAACTTGGAACTATGCCCAAAGGGCTACAAAAATGTGCATACCCTTTGATCCAGCAATAGCACTTCTAGGGCTGTATCCCAAAGAGATCAAACAAATGGGAAAAGGACCCACATGTACAAAAATATTCATAGCAGCTCTTTTTGTGGTGGCAAAGAATTGGAAATTGAGAGGATGCCCATCCATAGGGGAATGGCTGAGCAAGTTGTGGTATATGAATGTAATGGAATACTATTGTGCTATAAGAAATGATGAACAGGCTGACTTCAGAAAAACATGGAAAGACTTGTATTGTCTGATGCCGAGTGAAGTGAGCAGAACCAAGAGGACTTTGTACACAATAACAGCCACGTTATGGAATGACTAAGATTGTTAAACTGAACCCTTCTCAGCATTATGAGGATCTAAGACATCTCCAGAGGCCTCAGGATGGAAAATGCTGTCCATATCCAAAGAAAAACCTATGGAAGTTGAATCGCTATCACTTATTTTTACCTTCTGTTGAGTTTTGTATCATCTTTCTGATGGTTCCTCCTATTGGTTGTAATTTTTACTTACAACTTCACTAATGTGAAAATATCTTTAATGGGAATGTAAATGTAAAGCCTATATCAGATCGTGTGCCATCTTGGGGGGGGGGGGAGGAAGGGGGAAAAAATTTTCAACTCAAAAGCATATGGAAGTGATTGTTGACAAATCAAAATAAATTAATTTTTAAAAAAAAGAAATGATGAGCAGGCAGACTTCAGAAAAACCTGGAAAGACTAGCATGAACTGATGCTGAATGAAGTGAGCAGAACCAGGAGAACACTGTGCACAGTAACAGCCATGTTGTGCAATGACTGACCTTGACAGACTTAGCCCTTCTCAGCAATACAAGGATCTAAGAAAATGCTATCCACACCTAGAGAAAGAGCTATGGAGTCTGAATGCAGATGGAAGCATACTATTTGCTCTCCTTTTCTTTTGATGTTTTATTTTATTTCTTCTTTCTTGTGGTTCTTCCTATTGGTTCTAATTCTTCTATATATCATGACTAATGTGAAAATAGGCTTTGTAGGAATGTATAAGTAGAGCCTATATCAGATCGCACACCATCTGAGGTAGGGGGAAGGAGATTGAGGGGGAGAAAATTTAAAACTCAAAATCTTTTGGAAGTAAATGTTGAAAACTAAAATTAAATTATTTAAAAGTTCAATGTTTTTAGGGGGAAAACTCCCACCAAAATCCACCCAAGTCTGCATGTTGATGCACTTTCCAGGGCATCCTGCACCTCAGAATCAGAAGGAACCTCCTGAGTCTTCTAGTCTGACCCCTACCTCAACAAGAACCTCCTCTGACGTCGTAGCTGAAATGCAGAGAAATCCAAAGACTTGTGCAATCAAATGGGAAGAGGAACAGAGCAAGAAGTTTGTACTCAATGCCACTACAACCTTCAACCTTCATGAAAACAGCTCTGAAAGGCATTAAGCACTCAGCTGAACTGCCTCCTCAGGCCTGGGCTTGGATAACAGTGGAGGAAACCTGTGTGACTCCCCCTTTGGGGAAGGCAGGTGGGGGCAACAGCTATGGAGTGAGGCAAATCATGTTAGACACGGCTGAGTTTGGCTTAACTGTTTTTCTTTGTTATGTTGGAGGATTCAATTATTTTGAATTCTTTGGGGGGGGGTGTCAGGAATTGAAGGTGGTATAAAAATCAAATGGTATCAAGAAAACTTAAAAACAAAAGCCCCCACCCAACAAATAATCATGGGGCCTTTGCTTGAAGGCTTGCAGAGAGAGATGTAGCCCACCACCTCCTCCTCAGGCAGCCCTTTCCACTCCAAGACTCTAACTGGTGGCAAGTTTTTCCTGGTCAGCCTAAACTGACCTCTCTGCAACTGCCCCTCATTGCTCCCAGCTTAGCGCACTGGGGCCAAGCAGATCAAATCTGATCCCTCTTGCCACATGACAGTCCTTTAAATACACGGACACAGTCAGCATATGTTTTGCCCCTTCTTTTCTTCTCTGGGTTAAACATTTCCAGTTCCAAATGCTCATACGGCCCACACTCAAGGCCCTTGACTATCCTGGTTATTCTTTTAGGTGATTGATGTCCTTCCAAAAATGCAGTATCTAGAAGTCAACGTGAGATTCCACGTGTGGCATGAAAAGGCAAAGTACAGTGAAAATACCATCCTCTTAGTCCTGGCTACTGGTTCAATCTTATTAAATTCAAAAGGTTGTAAGATTTTGACTTCTCATTTGGTACATTTAGCCGATTATGGTTTTGCTAAGCTGAGTGTATGATCATTTTTATAACTGAAACACAGA